GTGTTATTCAACACACCAGATAAAGGTCCTGTTGTATTCCGAGGCATTAAGAAAAAGGAGACTCTTGGTTTTCTTTCTGCCTTGGAAGCTTTTCGATTGGTGAAGGAAGGTGATGTGATCAAAGTACGCAGCTTCAACGATATTTTTATGATTTTCTGATGTCGCCTTTCTTGAACTCGAAAAAATAAAGATAGATGCGGAATCAATCGGACAATTCCTAACTCGTGATGAAGGGCAATTGGTATATTAAACCAATCGGACAACACCAACTCGTGGAAAGGGGCAATTGATATAGGGTAGAAGCTCGCCACAACTAGACGCGTTCTCTAGTTGATAAGAGACACGTGAAACCTCTGGAGCACTCTCGACAGAAGCTTGCACAAAGAACCAGTTCGTTTGAACTTGAAACTTGAAAGTTGATTGATAATAGAATGAATTACAATGAGGGACGCATCCTCCTTATATAGGCAACGAAAATCCAATCTTAAACTAAGAAAGAAAGCAAACAAATAACCAAATCCTACAATTAAAAGGAAAACAAAACCTTAAAGGAAAAGTAAAAGGAAAACACAATCCTTAATAGACAAGGAAAAGACCAAGTCAACAACTCCTTAAAATCTAGCCTTCATATCCACCTTCCTTGAAGCCCAAGTTGCCTCCATGCTGGTCCACGAATTGTAGAAGTATAATGGGCTTCCCATGATGTTGGTCCATGTCCAATTGAGCATAATGTCGATCCAAATAAGCAGCAAATTCCTCTCTTAATCTCTTGGCTTGTAGACGAGTAATTGGACCTTCGTGTGATGAATTGGACTTGGATTTGATGACCTCATCAGAAGGTTGTGAAGCCTTTCTTGCTCAAGTTACTGTTGTAAATGATAAGAAGGTTGAGGATGTAGAGGTGGTAAGGGAGTTTCCTGATGTATTCCCCGAAGAACTTCCCGGCCTTCCACCAGAAAGGGAAGTAGAGTTTGATATTGAATTGGTACCTGGCACAACACCAATTTCAATGACACCATATAGAATGGCACCAATTGAGCTGAAGGAGCTTAAAGAACAATTGCAAGAATTGTTAGACAAGGGGTTTATTCGACCTAGCATCTCACCTTGGGGTGCACCGGTTTTGTTTGTCAAGAAGAAAGATGGCTCCATGAGAATGTGCATTGACTACCGGAGGTTGAATAAGGCGACAATGAAGAATCGTTATCCCCTTCCAAGAATAGATGATTTGTTTGATCAATTGCAGGGTGCATCTGTCTTTTCTAAGATTGATTTGAGGTCTGGATACCATCAATTGAAAGTGGCAGATGGAGCAACCTCAAAGACAGCTTTTAGAACAAGATATGGACATTATGAGTTCCTGGTAATGCCTTTTGGACTCACTAATGCACCAGCGGTATTTATGGCTCTTATGAACAGAGTTTTTCATGAATATCTTGATAAGTTTGTGATTGTGTTCATAGATGATATTCTCATCTATTCTAAAAGCGAGGAGGAGCACAAAACTCACCTTAGAATTGTGTTGCAAATTCTAAGGGAGAAACAATTATATGCAAAATTCTCAAAATGTGAGTTTTGGCTGAAGGAGGTAATATTTCTGGGACATGTAATTTCTGGAAGAGGTGTCGAGGTGGATCCGGAAAAGGTGGAAGCAGTGGTGAGTTGGGCTCCACCAAAAGATGTGTCGGAGTTGAGAAGTTTTCTTGGCATGGCGGGTTACTATCGGCGGTTCGTAGAAGGATTTTCTAAAATTGCTACACCATTGACTAAACTATTGAGGAAGAATACTAAGTATGTTTGGGATGAATCATGTCAAAAGAGTTTTGATGAACTGAAAAAAAGATTGACCACAGCACCAGAACTTGCACTACCTTCAAGTCAAGGAGAGTTTGTGGTGTATAGTGATGCCTCGTATCAAGGATTGGGTTGTGTGTTAATGCAAGATGGAAGAGTTATTGCATATGCCTCTAGGCAATTGCGTCCTCATGAAGTAAATTATCCCACTCATGACTTAGACTTGGCGACGGTGGTATTTGCTCTCAAGATTTGGCGACATTATTTGTATGGTGAGACTTTTAAAATCCTAACTGATCACAAAAGCCTGAAGTATATTATGGATCAGAAGGATTTAAATAGTCGCCAGAGGAGATGGATTGAACTTCTAAAAGATTATGATTGTACCATTGATTACCATCCAGGTAAAGCTAATGTAGTTGCTGATGCTCTGAGCAGAAAAGGCAAGAAGAATATAACGGATCTGGTTGATTTGAGGGCAATGAATGTTGATTTGGAAGTGGATGGTGTAACAGGGTTACTAGCTCGGTTAAACATTCGACCTTTGTTGCATGACAAAATTCGTGAGAAGCAGAAGGAGGACCTAGAGTTGGCAAAAATCATTCAAGACATTGAGGAAGGAAAAGAAAGCCCATTTGAAATGGTAGATGGCATGTTGAAGATGAATGGAAGAGCATGTGTTCCTAATGTTGATAACTTGAGGAAAGAGATCCTAGATGAAGCTCATTCTTCTGCTTATGCTATGCACCCAGGAGCAACTAAAATGTATCACACGATCAAACCATACTTTTGGTGGCGTGGGATGAAAAAGTAAGCGGCTGAACATGTTTTCACATGTCTGGTATGTCAGAAAGTTAAGGCAGAACATCAAGCTCCTGTAAGGAAACTGCAACCACTTCCAATTCCAGAATGGAAGTGGGAAAGAATCACAATGGATTTTGTATATGGTCTCCCACCGTCAAGGGGAAAGGATTAAGTATGGGTTATTGTGGACCGACTAACCAAATCGGCTCACTTTTTACCCATTAGATGGAAACCATCACTGGAGACCTTGTCTCAACTATATATTAAGGAGATCGTCAGATTCAATGGTGTGCCAATTTCTATTGTCTCTGATCGAGACCCGAGCTTCACATCTCGGTTTTGGCAAAGTTTACATGATGCCTTGGGAACTAAATTACATTTTACTTCAGCTTATCATCCTCAAACAGATGGGCAGAGTGAACGAACCATCCTAACTTTGGAGGAATTACTTCGATCATGTGTAATGCAATGGGAAGAATCATGGATTGACCATTTGCCCCTAATAGAGTTTGCTTACAACAACCAGTACCATAGTAGCTTGGGTGTTCCACCATATGAAGCACTTTATGGGAGGAAGTGTAGAACACCATTATGTTGGGATGTAGAAGGAGAAAGGCAAATCTCAGGGCCAGAGATAGTTCAGATCACAGTTGACAAGGTCAAGGAAATCAGGGAGCGTTTGAGGGTGGCTCAAGATCGACAAAAAGTTTATGTTGACACGAGTAGGCGTGAAGTTAATTTCGAAGTGGGTGAGAAAGTATTCCTCAAAGTTTCACCCTGGAAAGGCGTAATGAGATTTGGTATGAAAGGGAAACTTGCACCTCGGTATATTGGACCTTATGAAATCATAGAGAAGATTGGACCAGTGGCATATAAACTGGCATTGCCTCCAGAACTATCTCAAATCCACAATGTATTTCATGTTAGTATGTTGAAGAGGTACAAAGTGGATCCTTCCCATGTAATACAACCAGAGGAGATCGAGTTAGGCCCAGATTTAACTTTTGAGGAGGTTCCAGTTGAGATTGTTGATTTTCGGATTAAGACTCTTCGTAGGAAGGAGATTCCAATGTTGAAAGTGGTTTGGAGAAATCAAGAAAGTGAGAGTGCTACCTTGGAAACTGAAGCAAGTATGCGAGAGAAGTACCCTGAGTTAGTAGCAACCTACTTTGCAGGTTAACAATCTTGCCTAATAAGTTATGTTTTCAGCTTGTTGATGTGATTTTGTTGTGATAGCCCAGTATAGGTTTTTGAAACCTAAACATGGGAACTTGAGGTGTTATGTGTTATTTTCTATGTTATGAATCGCCTATTCTAAGAGTTAGGTAAGGGTTTATCTATGATGGACCATGTTAAGGGTAAGTAAGAGGAGTTAGAGTACGACTCAAGGTTAGATTTCGGGGACGAAATCTTTTAAGGAGGGGAGAATTGTAACATCCCATTTCGGCTAAACCCATATTTCAATCGCTAGAAAAGTCGCGATTTAAAATCGAGCGTTATAATAATATTTCGACGGAAATCGGATTATCGATCGATCAGATAAGAATACATATTAATTATATATAATATATATATATGGTTCAGGCTAGCGTACACCTGGTGTACGGTGTACTCCTGCGTTCACACCTATTAATTAATTATTAATTATTTTTAATTTAATTATAATTAAGGTAATTATTAATAATAAAAACAATTGCAATTATATCCCTTCATTAATGGTTGTTCATGGTTTAGTCCCATATAAATTTTATCTTACATTCTCCTCATATCAATCCCTTAACTAACAATCATATATATTATAGTACCTTTTTCCAAATTATAAACTTAAAACACCCAAACTTTATAATTATTTACAACTTCACTGCTCCTGCCATTACAACTCATCATCTTGTCGTTTTGTCCTCATTTATCTATTCCACTTCGTCTTCTTCATCATAAGTGAGAGACTGTTCTCCATCCTCCTTTCTCCTTCTCGATCCTCCTTTCCCTTATCTCTCCCCCAATTCATCAACTCCACCACTGAACAAGAGAGAAACAGAACCGAGCCAGCCACCCCTGTGCGCTCTCTCTCCCCCGTTCTCTTTTGCATTCCGCAGAGGCAAACAGTTTGATTCAACAACAAGAGGAGGAAGCAGACGAAGCTTAACAAGAAGATCCATTTCTTCTCTTCCGTCTTTCGATAGATAGATACAAACACACCCCTTCTCAAGTTAGACCCCAATCCTCCTCTGTAATTTTTAGGGTTTCTCTTCTCTCGAGTTTGAATCTCATCTGCAGCGTTCGATTGATCGATTGAGGCGGATAAACCGCAGTTCTCATGTTGTTACCTTATCTCCCCCAAATCAGATCGATCTAAACCCTAAGAAAAGCCCCCTTTCTTGTTTTGCCTCTTGCATGGAGCATTAGACTACGCCCCTTTCTTGATTCCTCTGCTAATCTCCATTTCCCAGCCGATCAGAGCTCCATTCCATGAAAGTCACAATCTCACCGACACCAAGGAAGGCCCCTTTGTCCATAATTCATGGGGCCAGGCGGAGAAGCTCAACGGTGTTGGCGGACTTGATGAGTTGCTGTAGAGGACGATGAGAGGAGCCGATGTCTCTGTGGAGGACGTCGACGAGGTTGAGTAAGGAGGCCCAGATCCCATTTCGACGGCGAAGAAGAAGATGGTGACGGTGGAGAAGAATGGATACTGCGGCGGCGGGGACGAGGCACACATGCATGAAGCTCGAGATTTACACCCCTGCGAGCGAACCAGTCTTCGTCAAGGAACGTGGTTCGAGGGTCGCTTCGACCTCTCCATCACCGACGGCCTCCACTCTTGGGTCTGCCACGGTAAACCTATATCTCCCCTTACTTTTCTTGTTCGACTGATATCGACTCTCGTGTTTGAATCTCTCCATTTATACGGGGTTTCTTTTATCATCCTAACTCTTGCTTCAAATTTTGCAGCTAGGGAAGAGGATGCGAGAGATAGAGCGGCGCAGTGGGTCAGTTATGAAATTGGCATGTTTGAATCGAAGCAAGTTTGTTATTCAATTGTTTGTAAGTTTTCACTTTTGGATTCTGGGTGTCATTGATTATGGGGAAATATGGACGGGTTCTGCATTCTTTTCCGCCCTGCTGCTATTAGAATCCGAATTCTGATCCCTCAGCTTTTAACCTCCGCTGCAAATCGTATGTAAACCTTAAGAATTTTTGTTACTTATTGTACTGTACTCGTCATGTTCTGGATTCCCTTGAATTGAGGTTCTGTGCTGTGCCCATAATTTCTTCTAAGCAGCTAGAACAAACTCAACTGTGTTCTTCTGACCTGATTATCTCATATATTGGCAGGAGAAAAGGGAGTTGGGCCTAAAACTGGGAAAGCTTTACACTACAAGGGTTCTTTCTTCCATAGTGTTATAAAAGGATCCATGGCTCGGGTTTGTTTTTGTTCTGATGCATTTTGGTCACTAAACTATGCACACACATTACTTTCAAGCTTGGGTTTGCGCTCAGTTTCTTGTTGATGTGGCTTGAAGGTGGTGTCTTTTAGTCAGTTTCCATGGTTAGCTGGTTACCCTTGTTTATGCTGTATTGTACAGGGCTGATGGTCACGCCTGCTTTTGATATTGTTTTAAGGTTGTACTTACTGAGTTGTCCATCCTTAAAATTCACTACGCTTCATCGTGAAAAAACCCTATATGATGATGCAAATAATTATGTTAGTGGACTAATAGGCTGTGCATTTCTTGCAGGGAGGCGACTTCTCAAAAAGAGATGGTATGTGTCCTTATACCGATGCTTTTTCATTGTGCCATAAATTTTGATAAGTTTCTTCATTCTATGTCATAATTCCATGTAGCAGAAGTATGTCTTACATGATATTGTGATGCATTCTTGCAAACATGAAGGCCTTTGGGACATTTGGAATTTGTTCCGTTCACAAACTTCAAGATTTAAGCCTAACGGGACCAAGTTGTAGACATGGTTGATAATATCTGATTTGCCTGAAATGTTGGGCTGGGATTGTCATTAAAAAGAAAGCCAAGTAATTGTCTTTGATTTTTAAAAGGTAGCTTCTAGTTAATTTACCTGTTCTTTTGCTCCTGGTAGCTTTGTATATTTTAGTGGCTTGGTTTGAAGACAGTGGCCATCTCCGGAATTACACATTATTTTCTGTTTAGACTAGTTATGGAGATTAGCTATCTAGACTGAGTTATCTATCAAGCAGTTTCATGAGAGTATTTGGCTGGTTTTACAGATCGAGTTAGCCTAAGATGTTCGGAGGGGCCATAAAATGTCAAACAAAATAATAAAATATTAAATATGATTTGCTATATGCAAAGTACACAATGCTATTTGGAATCAATCAAGTCACTCAAAATAGCGTTTAACCAAAACGTGTTCACTAATATCTCATTCATTATAAATAACAAGAATACTAACGATAGAGCCATCACTCTTTTCATTATAAAAAACTCATTCAATACCAGCCGTAACGACTATAAGAGTCTGAACCAGATGAATCATATAATCAACGAATCAAAGTCAGTTGACTTCCCAGAGCATCCCAAACCACGATATAGTGGAAGAAAGCTCGGAAGTTGGGAGTCATCGTCGTTGGTTCTTCTTTCTGTCATCGCCGACGTTGATTCTGCGTCCTCTATTTGGTAAGCTAACGTTTTGGATGTTTTAAGTTAAATCTCTAAAACCATGCTTTTAGTGAAATAGATGCACAATATGATAGATTCACAAAATCATGATGTTTAAAAGCATCAACACAAAAGATATTCAACGGAATTGTCAATCTATAAATTTACTTTCTAAAAAAAACGAGAGAGTAATACTTTTTTTTACAACAAAGGGTAATACTTTCTTGAAAGATTACGTATAATATTAATGTCGACGCCATATTAACATTTAACAAAAAGAAACCTGAAACTAATAAAACAAAATTCCCACACTAATCTCTAGTAATCAATTCACAATTCAATAATTGGGCACAAAAGAAAATAAAGAACACTTAAAAGCAAAAACAAAAATTAACTCTCAAATAGATCACACTATTGTTTCAGCCATGTAAAAAAATTATTTTGCGGTTACAAGTAATCTAACCCGGACCGCAGGATTGCAAGCTAAAGTCCACACCAATGCGCCATTAGCTCTTTCGTGTTTCATTCTTGCCAATGACTAATATTATACGTTTTAATTTGTTCATAAATTTCAGGGCGCTCAACATCGCTGCACTGTCTTCGTCCCTGTTCCCAGAAATCTGGCTATTCTTCCCCAAACCCAGAAATCGAACGACCAGGCATCGCCATAAACTGTCCTTCATATAGTTGCATCATCGAATTCAATCTTCGTCGGGGTTGTGGGTGGGTGGTGGTGGGGGTGGATGAAGAGGCCGACGGCGATTAAAGAGGATTTCGATTCAGACATATGCAGGGGAAGAATAGCGGCGATTAGAGAGGATTTCGATTCAGACATATGCAGGGGAAGAATAGCACCAGGAAAGAGAACGAGTGGAAGAGGGAAGAGCGGAGCTCGACGAATTCGTCGTCCCCGGAACCGCTGGGTTCTTGCTACTAGTCGATGACCTTCGATCGCATCCAACGCGGAGTGTCGACTTCAGTGGCGGAGGCCCGAACTAAGCGGGAATGCAGGGGAAGAATGGCGCCGGGCAAGAGAACTAGCGGGAAGAGGGAAGAGCAAAGCTCGATGATCGTCGTCTGGTCTCCGGCACCCTCGATTCTTCATACCAGTCGACGACCTTGGAGCATGTCCGAAGCGGCGTTTAGACTTCCCTGACAGCGGTTCCAATCCGAAACGCCCTGCTGCTTCTTGATCGGAGCTGTAGTCCCGCCGGAAGCTCCTTCTATCGTTCTACTACGATCAACCAAATGTTTTCTCATCATCACCCAAAACTAAATTAAAAGATAGATGTTGGGACTCGACGGAGATTCTGCAAACTATCACTGCCGGCGAGAGATACGACCGGTTGAGGGAACTATAAGGATTTTTTTTTTTGAACAGTGGGAAGTAGAAGAAGGCAAACGACTTGTTTTAAGGTTGGGTGTTTTAAGAAATTGAAGTTGTATATAATTATAAAGTTTGGGTGTTTTAAGTTTATAATTTGGAAAAAGGTACTATAATATATATGATTGTTAGTTAAGGGATTGATATGAGGAGAATGTAAGATAAAATTTATATGGGACTAAACCGTGAACAACTATTAATGAAGGGATATAATTGCAATTGTATTTATTATTAATAATTACCTTAATTATAATTAAATTAAAAATAATTAATAATTAATTAATAGGTGTGAACGCAGGCGTACACCATACACCTGGTGTACGCTAGCCTTTGCCATATATATATATATATATAATATTACATAAAGCGGACGGGCCGCATATATATAATTCCCCGTCACTTTCATTCCACAATTCTCATCATCATCTTCCATTCTACACCGAGAGAAACCGAGAGCAGAGCCGCGCACAGGGAGCTCGGAGAAAATTTTCATAGCTCGATTCTTGAGCTACAGTGATCCAAAAATCCCGTAAGTAATGCCCAATTCATCCATACATCCTGATTTATCGATTTAGAGATTTAAAACGAGTTTTTGGATCAGGAATTTCTTGAATTCCCGATAAGCCAAATTAGGGTTTCGGAGTATCCGGAAGCCGGATTGAGCCCAAATTTCATATACGAGCTCACTGCAGCGAGGTAATCAATCCTCTAGTTCTAATCCCTGAATTTCGGCAATTATTTAGGCCGGGGTCCAAACCGCTGAATTTAGCTCCGGCCAGGGTTTGATGTGTTTTTATCAAGAATTTGACCCGGAGCCTAGAACTAATATTGACGGGGATACTGCAGGGGGTATTAGGACGGTCTCGGATTTTAATTTGGGGTTCGTTCGAGAAATTGACGTTTTAGTACGGGGAAGCTTAAACCGGTGTTTGAACGACCAGAACTGGTGAGGGATTAGCACGGCATACCGGGTTTGTCGTATCACGATAATTATATTGATGCTTAGAATTGACCTAGGTGAACTAGAATGGCATGATTAGGGGTGTATGAACTTTTTTGCTATATGTTGAACCCTGGACTGCTGTATGATATTATTGACTTGCCCTAATCGATATGGACCTTGTTTATGCTGATGATTGCATACATGTTGCCATTTGTGGCTTAACTGTTGATATGACTTCATGATTGTTCGATCATGTGTTTTGACATGATGTGATATTGTGGTTCTATTTGGATTCACAAGTGGGGGAGATAAACTTCCCTGGGTAATATTATGATGTTTAAGGAGGATGACTTGCACGAGGGTTTATCCCGATGAAGTGCAATTATACGACTCCTGATTTACCTATTTTCAGCCAATTGTGGCCAGATCAAGTACATGTGCAAGTAACAAATTATGATTAAGCAAGATGAGATACGAATCATGTATAAGGATACCAAATATGAGTGTTGTGGTCTCACGGTCAACTACATAGTAATTAGGGCTCCCTATGCTATTACTCTATTATGATATGTATGATAGTCACACCTCTCATATGGTGGTGACTGAAGAATTCTTATGAGATATGAACACACCCAGAGTGGTGTCGGGGTATGACTACACTCATAGTGGTGTGGGGTATGTATGACCACATCCGACGGGATGTTGGGGTATGTATGACTACATCCGATGGGATGTGGGGTATGTTTCCCGGGAGAGTTATTAGCATGGGAGTAGCCAGGCACCTATAAGTAAAACATGATAAGATGCATATGCATAAGTCAAGGTGGTTGAGTCTTTTGCCTATTGGGATATAAGGATGGCTGAGGTCCGAACCCAGTGTTTTGGCTTGATTGTTAGATGTATGGTAGGGGTATGCTCTGTTATGAACTCACGATGCTATGATTATCTCACTCAGCTATGAGCTGACCCTCTTTTATTTCTTCTTCTCTGCTTATGGTATGTGTTAGCAGATCACCAGCAGCAGCAGTAGATAAGTGTTAGGTGCGAGAGGAGCTAGAGTTGAAGCCAGGATGAGGTATGGTCTTCAACTATTCTGTGCTTGGACTACTACTCGGGATTTTGGCCAGTGATCCACACCTTTTTGTATAAAATGTTTTCAGAACGTTTTTCATGTGCATACTAG